ATCTCCATTGTCGCACTCCAAAATCAGTCTGCCCTGAAAACTGGGAACCTGCCTCATCACAACCGCCCCTCCCGGCCATGACAGGTTTTTGTGGAATTTTCCACGGTGCCAAGCCATGTCCGGGACCACGAGGAATCACTGTTTCAGAGTGGACTACGAACCCCCGGTGTCTGAAACTAGACACTCTGGATCGGGGTGTCCGCCTCTTCTCACATCGTTTCTGCGTCCTGTCGCTTTGGGCCTGACCCAACTCCGGAACGGTGTCCAACAATCGCACTTAGTGCGAGGCACCACCCATCAAGACTCTGACCTTACCGAATCAAACAATTGACCATTCCAACTGTTGAATAAGATGGCCATCGCGACGTTAGCACCTTCACCTGCCTGCGACGGCGCGCACACCTCAGACACTTCTGGCGGCCCGGGATCGGATGCACCAGCTGAGGACAATGACAACACTCCCCAGAACACTGACGGCCACGCGCCAGACGCGCCGACAGGCGCGGATCCGCCTGGCAACGGCAGTAACGGTAACACGGACGACTCCAACGGCGCGGAGAAAAGTTCGCCCGCAGTCGAGAAGGGCAGCGCGGAGGTCGAGGACGTCGAGAAGTCCCTACCTGACGATAAGGCCGGGAACACTGCAGACGTGCATGGCTCTAGGAGCCCTTCGATTTCGTCGCAGCCCATGCGGAGTGTAGTGTTGAGTGGAGCACACTTCCTCTCCATTGCAGAATCCGACAGGATCTTCCTACTGGGGATCATTCCGTCGTCCGCAACGTCACTTTTCATGGGGGCACCAGTCGTTCCTGTGAGCCGGGACGTCCCACCCAGCTTGATTCGACGGTTGAGCGTCATATCGTTGGAGTTCCTGCTACTGAGACGTCCCTGTAGCGCGGATCGAGGATGTACGACGGGTGCGGTGGTCTCGAGACTCATCTCTTGTTCGAGAGTTTGAGCGCGGAGGACCTCGCAGACTTGGAAGGACTACCGGGTCGTGACTCATTGGACTTCCTACTCCAGCTGCGTAACTACGCTCCGACGGCTCAGGAACGAGACACGGAAGCTCGCTCTTTCCTCGTTCAGCGGGAAGTTGCTTCCGTTTTGGCCCACCTTTCCTCAGAACGTTTTGCTGAGCGTGTATACAACACCATGTCATTCTTGAGAAGTCTTCTGGTCAAGGTCCGAGACCTTTAGAATCACATTCAGCGTCTGGATGCGGACAAGGCCTCGGACGACGCTCTCTGGCTCCAGGACACGAACCACGCTTTGGCCCGTGAGTGGACAGCCATGTGCCAGTACTGGCACCGCCATGCCCAAGACGTCGAACGCCGAAGCTCGGCGACAATGGCGGCTCGGACCCGTTTCTTTCGCAACGTGGAAGAGGGTCTGAAACGCAAGGGCCAGACATTGCAGGACGAGAACACTCGACTCCGAACCGTGATGCGGGCTGCACAAGACGCCCAGGAATCGACCGAGCGTCGCGCTGATGACAACGTGTTGGATCCTGACGATTTACTAGACTTCTTGATGCGAGATGAGAGTGGAGTCCCCGTTATCTCCAATTGGGAGCGTCTCCGATACATTTTCCGACACTATGCCGAGGGTACCAAGCCTCCCAGCGCTTGGAATTCTCAAATCAACGTTACCGCCATGGACAACGTTCGGTACATGCCTCCCGACTACGTGAAGCTTGACCCGCGTCCCAGAAACCCTCGCGGGGGTGGTGGGTATGGACCCAAACCACCAACTTCAAAGCCGAGTAGGGTTCTGGACCTGACAGGTAGCGGAGGGTCGAGATCATCTAACACGACGTCACGATCTTCCAAGTCGCGGCCAACTTCTGGCTCGAAACGCAAGGCGTCACGGCAACCGGATTCTAATCACGGTGGTAGCTCTGGAGTTCGATGTCACGGAAGAGAGGTAGATGCGTCCTAAGGAACACTGCCCTCGCGACGACTCCCCTGCGGTCCTGACGAAGACTTGGATTCAGGGATGGAGGCTGACGCACAGAAACGCGTCCCGGATGGCTTACTTTGGGACGACCTCCGACAGGACGTTCGCATGTTGATGATCACCGGACTCACGTACGAGGAAGCTCTGAAGTTGTTGCATGGAGGCGACCCCATTCATCACCTTCTACCTGGGTATATGGTGCAGTTGATGATGACTCAGATGATCGACTGGGGAACTCTGGACCTAACGCCCTGGCGCAAGTATGTGCCTGAGTCCAATTATTTGGATGCCGAACGAATCTGGACCGGGATTCGAGTTGTGGATGATCGCGGACTTGAGAAATGGCCTTCCTTGGACAAATGCGATCGGAAGCTTCAGAAGCTTAAGACAGAGGTCGAGATGATCAATGGCGCTCTCTCTGAATCGTCAGACGACGAGACTCAGGACCCTTCCTTCTCTCTGAAACCAGGCGCGGAGGGGGCTGACAATGCCCAACAGACTCGAGACGAGGCCGAAGATCTAGGTGATGGCGCGGACGAGGTACCGACAAGCGTTGCTGACACTAGTTCAAAAACTGCCAAGCCAGCCAATCCTGGAACGCGACGCCCCTCTCCAACCCCGAGTATAAAACCCAAGGCATCGTCTAGGGCCCAGACACCAAGGCCATCAAGAGGGTCAAGACTAACACTGGTCGTGCCCAAGGGGTACGTCATCCCACGGACTTGGTCACTCGCGAGTTTCACTCTCTGGGTGACGACGAGCTGTTGATCAGCGAGGTCTGTGACCGGGATGTTACCAGCACCTTTCGAGTCTTTGGGATTAAAATGAAATTCTCCGACAAGGTCCAGGCTCTTGGCTTCCCAGATTATGAACCACACAAGCAAGAGACCAAGTATCTCAAGGATCGTTGGTCCATGGAGGCGTGGGATGAGTTCTTGGGCGTCGTTCGGGTGAAAAAGGCTGGATCTAAGAATCGTCGTGTAACTACATCGAAGCGAAACTCATCTGGAGCGGGTGTCTGCGGTTCGGGCTCGGATCCCAGCGTGTGGGAGACACGAGACCTCGATTTTGTGCTCCCTTGGGTTCAAACGTTCGAAGACCGTTCCAAGGAGTTCTACTTCCATCGCGTCCGCGAACTGGGCAAGCCAGTCATGCGTGGGCTCAGGGAATATGTGGAAGCCATGGAAGAGCACGCTGAAGGCTGGTGGTACATATTGCACTGGTTCACGATATCCCTGGAGGATGACCGTGCCAAGGAGCTTCACCTATGGCGTCGCAAACGTCAGGAGACTCTGGTCCGATACTTCCTTCTCCTAGTCGAACGATTGGAGAAGATCGACAAGTTCACCAAGACGCTCTGGTATGAGCCGGGTTTGTGGATCTTGCCAAACACTATATGTTACTGGATCTTCAACGATCCATCGGTGAATTTCCGGACCGTGTCAGGAGTTGCTGACTTGCGCGCCGAACCCTCGGAGCTGGACGAGAGGGAACCTGCGCGTACACTCTGGGCAGATGCCGCGAGTGAAACTGCGCATCTGGAGCACGTTCGTTTCCAAACGTCTGCTCCCGAAACTTGAACGGGCCAAAAACCTGCTGCCGGTTCCGAGACGTCCCTCCACCCCGAAACCAAGGACCACGAAAGAGCTATACGAGCTCCGTCTCGCCCGGGATGCCACATCAGCGGGGTCCAACTCGGACTGAATGTCCAACCCGAGAACACTTGGTGCATCTCAGATTCGGCCTCCGTCGTCCATGCATATCGTAGCGTATCCATCTAATTCAATAATCAAATACTGATGTCTCACCTTGCTCCATTCTCATCTAAGTCACATTAGCGGGGCAAACTACCCAATAACCCTCCATTCCACACACACCATTCGTACCGAACGTCTGGAACCACATCACCTTAGCCCGATATTCACGCACCATCACTCAGTCGCTATTATAGCGGACGGCTTCTCTGAAACGGGGCACGTAATAGTTGGATCCAGACCCGACCTCTCAGGACCGGGGATTATATCTCCGCATAATCGTCGTTCCCAGACTACATGGCTGCGAAAAGAGATTTAGGACGTACTGACTGGTTGAACTTATACAATAGGGAGCCACAGTTCAATTGTGAGACAGGTAACCACTGAAGTTCGTCATATCCCTTCCACTTATTGAGATACTCGCGGATACGTTTCGCATTTCGGGTAAGTTTTCATCTTAAATCCACAATTTCTTCCACTTTGTACTCCTGATACGCCGAATCTGATTCCCAACTATCTTCCGGCAATAAGGCTGCATCAAAAGCATCTTCCTCGGAAACGTCAATCCTTAAAGATGGCCGTTTCGGAAACAAGGCGCGTGGTTTCAGGCGACTAATGTGGACACAGGGTTCTACGCGATAACCCGTGTCCTGAACCTTCAATTTCACCTTGAAATCGTTCCGGACCTATTCCATTCTGAATGGTCCGTGCCACAAGTGTCCAACTTACTACTCAGACTTGGCAAAATCTTCGGGATGTATAACCAGACAGAATCACCTACTTCGAACCCAGACTTAAGGTGTTCCGACATTATCTTCCACTTCTGAGTCTGAACCGCAGATCGGGTACGCTTGGTCTTCTTCTGGAGCTCTTCTGCGCAAGCGTGAGCATAATCTCATCGCAATTTCCGACGCCATTCATACGCAGTACGTTCCGTGATATTTGTTGGTTTGGGGCCCAGCATAGCTGCTATGGTACTCCGACAATCAAACCCGTGTAGCAAGTAGAACGGTGTATCCAATCTAGTCGCGTCGAAGGAAGTATTCATAGCATGCATGAGCTTCTCTGCATAGTCATCCCAGTCGGTTTGGTCGGGTTCTTCGACATACGCTCTGATACTGTGCATAATTGTCTGACCCGACCGTTCATGCTGGCCATTGGCTTGAGGGCGATATGCGAGTGTTGCTTTCTGCTGAGTACCCATCGTCTCACTGAAACGACCGAACACCCGATTTATGATACGGGGATCTCGGTCGTGTTGAATTTCAAAACTTGCGCCATAATTCCTGAACACGACCTCTTCGTAGGCTTCAGCACAGTCTTGGGTGGTAGTGCTACTCATGGGTTTACACATTACATAGCCTGTGAGCATGTCCTGAAATAAGAGTAAAAACGTATTCCCGCGTTCCGGTTTCGGGAGATGTATGATGAAATCCATAGACATCACATCGAACGGACCAGTCCATTCAATGTTCCCAGGAGAGGGTCCTGGATTCGGAGGTCGCCCCTTAGCGGACGCGCAATCCGTGTATTCTTTGACAAATATTTTGACGTCCTGGAACATCCCGATCCAGAAGAACTCTGAACGCTGGCGCTCGTATGTCCTGGTGATGCCTTGGTGGCCACTCTGGAAATCCTCGTGAGCGTGGTGTAAGATGTCCGGTCGTAAGGGTACTGGTACAACCAATCGAAGTTCAAAACACTTATTCCTAGGGCGTTCTAGAGAAGGTGCAGCCAAACGATAAAGGACGTCTCTTGAATCTAAGACATATCGGTCCGAACCCTTCGCGATTTTCTTGACTTCCCTCCGCGTATAGTGCAACAGGTCACCTTTCAGATAAACCTTGAGCCGTTTCAGTTCTGGATCCTCGTCCTGATGGACTTTAATCCGTCTCCAACGTTCGTCCCGATAATCAAGTGGCCGACCCGGGTCATCGACTTGGGCCACCTGTCTGGAACGACTTCGGGTCGTAACTAAATTCACGGGTATCGCGGTCTCGGGTGTGCTCGGGGCAGAGTCTGACAGGAGGTCACTTGGACGATCGCCCTTCAGACTGTGACTTGCGTCGTCCTTTCGCTACGAGGTCTCCGGCGTCTTCATAATCTTCTCCGGGATCCTAGAGACAAATTTCAGATGCATCAGTTCGTCCGCGTCTTCCACTACCCATGCTTTCCCGAGTGCCAATGTCTTCGTCGTCAGATAATCTGCTGCCTGGTTGTAATCGCGTTTTACGTGGACCAACCGTACGGACCCAAATTTCACTTTCAAAGCTTCATACTCAGCAAGTCGACGTTGCAGATTAGGCTGGTGGCAACCTATCAACCCTTGTGCTTGTTGGATTACGATCCTAGAATCGCTGACCACAACTACATCAACGTATCCTTCGAAGTTAGAATCCAGCATCTCTACACTGATTGGCGGGGGTGCCTTGACTCGCCCCTTGGCCGGGATCAAGTTCTCAGCGACTTCGTCCAGATGCTCCCTGGGGGTAATGCCTGCACCTAGGATAGCAGCTAATCCATCTTCGTCGCGTTGCACACGGCGCAGTTCCAGAGTCACTTCGACAATTCTAAACCCCACTGAGGTGAAGGCTGTCGGGAGAATTTTACTTCAGTAGCCACTACAGGACTGAATATCGGGTGTAGATTACGGTTGGTGTCTCTGAACCGTAGATGGGCGGACGGAATTGCTCTAAGACTCGCAGGATCGCCAACGCCTCCTTCTCCGCGATGTGGTACCTGAGTTCAGACTCGTTCAGGATCCGCCCTGTGAAACGCACTGGTTGAATTATCCCTTGATGTTCCTGTCCGAGGACGGCACAAGCTGCCCAAGGGTTTGCATGTGAGATGATGACAAACGGCTTGGTACAATCTGGATGACGCAGCAGCGGCGTCGATGTGATCTTACGTTTCAGAATCTCGAACGCTTCCTTGGCTTTATCCAAATCATGGCAGGCACGAATGCGATCCTCATCCAACTCATAAAGTACGGCCGCGACAACAGGCAAATCCTCGATAAACTTGTTATAGTAATTCAAGCTTCCAAGAACGACTAACGCCTTTCAGAGTCGATGGGAAAGGTAGGTCTTGAACACTCTTGGCAATCTTCGGGGTAGCTCTGATGCCTTCAGCGCAGACTTCGTGAGACATGTACGGTATAGCTTGTTTGCCGAACTCGCTTTTCGGAAGGCTAACCGAGATATTCCAATACCGGAGTCGAAATAGCAGGGCATCAAGGTCTTCACAGAGTTTGTCCCAGGTAGGCGCCCCATGAGCTATGTCATCTATATAGGAGCTTCGCCCCAGGACTGATCCCATCTGCGTTGGGGTCGGAATATTCCGCCTGAATGCAGTCGCCTCCTTCGTCAACTAGGGGAGTCTGAAACCACCTTCGCCTTGAGGAGTTTCAACCGTCGGTTCTGTGTCTGGGGCAATCAGCTCCTGAAATACCAGGACATCTCGGTCGACCTTAGCTTCCCCTTCGGGTGCGAGCCGCCCGAATCCCCAGAGACAGTTGTTAATCTCACTCTGGTACACAAACGGCGCGTTCTTGAGCCCAAAAGGCATCCGGATCCACTGGAAATGTCCTAACAGCCAGACAAAGGCCGAAACCAATTCCGCCCGCCCTGTCATCTGAATTGTCCAGAAACCACTCGCCATATCCAGACTCATGAACCATGCCGCAACATTAAAATCAGTCGGCAAGTCATCAATCAGAAGTAAAGGATATCGTGATAGCTTTATCAACTGGTTAACCAGCTTATAATCCACACACATTCTGATGTCCTATCCATTCTTCTTCAAGACGATCACGATCGGGGATAACCACTCCGATTCAGAGTGTTCAATGAGTCCAGTCTCTAGGAGCTTCTTCAGCAGCTCGTAAACTTTCACCAGATATCTGGAAGCGATTTGTCGAGCACGCAGTGCTATGGGCATCGCATCGCCTACATCCAAATTACAAACGACTCCACGAGCTGGGGCCGATGCTGTATTATCGTCACCTAGAAAGATACGACGATGATAATTCAAGATCTTCCGTATCTTGTCTTCCATCTCTGGGGCCGGGACACCTGGAACGCCAACGTCGGCTTTGGCGATGTCGCATTCCGGACTCAACTCTTCCAACTCTGGAAACATGGTCAGGTGGTCACTCAACTGAGCTAAGAGCTCTGTTCCTTCACGCAGATATACAGCTGGTTCCATGTCTAACTCTTCCACTGTCACTCGCATGACACGCTCGTATTCTCGTTCCAGTCTTTGGACACGAGTATCTGAGAGGTCCGGGGCAGCATCCACGGGGCTTAAGAAATCATCCAATACGCTCTCGAGAACATCCTCTAGTACATCCTCCGAGTCGAACTCTGAAACGTAGTTCGTTCCTGAGGCGAAACGCTCCGGACTTGACGTCGGGTGACATTCTGGGTCTTTTGCTCTTGAAATGGTGGCTAGATCTTCTCTCAGGTCCTCTGCGTTCCGGAGTCGCTCTGGATCCTCTACACTTCCTACCATCGCCCCAGTCGTAGACGGTTCTGAGTCCTCATCTCGGACCTCCGGCTTGGTGGATTGGTTAGAAGCACAGCTACACCGATCTGACACGCCATATCCACCAAATCTCGGGAAGTCAACTTGAGTACCAACGTCTCTGATGTCCACTGCTCCGGTCCCTTCGACGGGTGTCGTCACCTGGGCATCTCTTGGACCTTCTACCTGTGAGGTACTTCCCTCCGATTTGGAGGTGGCTCCACGTCGCGCAGCAAGGAAAACTTCTACAACCTCTGGTCAATCTTGCAACTGTACCATCTTGACTTCCGCATCCTGGGACTTTGGGCGTACGTGGTAGGCCATTGGTACTCTGGCCGTGGCACCGCGGGAGGGTCACGAAGTCGCATCAACTGTTCTAGGCGCTCAGCACACATCCGGCCTTGACGCAATTCTGTACTCTCGAGAATAAGCCGTTGCCACTCCTTATACCTGATCTTCCCTGGGCGGACGAATCCTGGCTCCTTCGGGAAGTGGCCGTACTCCACAATCCAAGCAAGGACAGTCCGGGTGTCGTTCCAGACATTTCTAACCGTAACGTTGACCACTCGGACCGCCGTAGCCCAAGACCGGACTCCAAACAGGATATCTGTCACCCAGCTTTTCCTCGCCCGGCCCAGACCACTTCTCGCTGCGGATTAGTCTGTCCATACTCAATTTTTAGTACCGCAGCCTCGCCTGGGTGCAGATAACTTTCCTTCGCGCAGACTGGCAATTCCAGCCCTCTCTGCTTCCTCGGAACATCGTCATACATAACGACATTCTCCTCACCCGGTAGCTTGACTAATTCTTCGCGGATGCACAGCCGAACTCCCCCCGAGTACATGAAGTTCATTCCCAATAACACGTCCACACCTTCACCAATGTTCCCGATCGAGACATCTTGAATATAGACCACTTCCCAACCAAGGGTAATCCTGACTCGAGCATGCGCAGAGATATATGTCGGGATCCCTCCCAAGCCAGATATCTTGATCTGCCGATGCGTTCGGATTTTGAGACTGGGCCTACGCGCTAGGTCCAGACTCACAATCCTTACTGAAACACCTGTGTCTAGGAGTATCCTCATTCGCCGATCATTGATCACCCCACACACAGTCGCGATCTCATACGAATTCTCTGAGTCATGATCTTCCCACCATCCATATCTCTGGCCCGGGATAGTGTGACTTCGACCGGGGCTTCGGCAGAACTCGACCCTGAACCTGGTTTGTTAAAACGCTGATACTCAGCGTAGAGCTGTTCCGGGTAGATGATCTCGTCTTGAATTAGAGTCATGCATTGTTGTTATCTTGGTTTTGGTCTGTTCATCTTCTTTCTGGACCCATACAAACTAGCACACATAGTTTAGGGGGTTCTTGAGCCCGTCGCGTACTGGATCCCCATCCAGCGGTCCTAGTGGTTTAACTGTTGCTTCCCTTGTCCTGTGGCCTTCGTCTGTAATTGGGCCGGAGTCTGGCTCGGCACTGTGTCGTTCAGCATGCCTTGCCTCACCAGATGCTTCACAGTCTTGAACGCTCTCCACTCTGAATTCCAGGGTGGATTTCTCCACAGTCTATACACCGTTTCTTTTGGCAGACTCGGGCCGGATGTCCCGTTTCAGAGCAATTCCACAGACTACGTCGTGCCAGCAACTGTCTTCGGGATGGCCCCACTTCTTGCACTTCTCGCAAAACGTGTTCCTCTTTTCCATACGCTGTTGCTCCGACCACTCCGAAACGCGGTATCCTTCATACGATTCCTCCGCCATTTAGGGCATCGAAGGGACGCGTCCAGACAATATTCTGGGGTCTCTGGATCCGCCACCCGGGCTGTTCCTCGACTTCCGGAGTCTGAAACTGGAAATGCTTTTCCACAACGGGAGGGGTTCCCGAGTCAGCATTCTCGTGTGGCCTGGTCGTCGAGGTTTGAGGCCTCCGCGAGGTAAATGGTCGGCTCTGGCATCTCACGTCCTCGTCGGTGGTGTCTCGTAACCATCTTCTCTCCACACATCTTCGTGACGTCTGAGTACACGCTCCACTTCAGAGATACTCTAAAACTGATGGCCTTCGAGAGCCGTCTTCAGCTGTACATCTTTGAGCTTCTTGACAAATCTGGGGAGGTGTAGTTCATGACGCTTAGAGCTAGGCTGGAACGGGACTTCCGCCTTCACAGCTGCCGTATTCAATCTGTAGAAGAACTGCAGCGCTGTCTCTGAGGCTCTCATCTTCATAGTGAAATATCGTTCCGCGTATGATCTAGTAGTACGGCAATACAGCTTCTTTACCTTGGTAGACAGTAGTTTCCGATTGTGACGCGTTGATTTAGGCAACTGAGCGTACCAGTCTCTGATCGTGGCAGGCATCCGGCTCCAGAACTACTGGCGGATCTTCATCTTGTCAGGCCAACTGCCTTGCGCCGCCATGTCGGTGAACCGTTCCCACCAGTTGACTCGATCTTCCTTCGGCGCAGTGCCGTTGAATATCTCGACCTCGTTATAGTTGATATATGGCCGGAAATTCCAGACCATAGTGCTGTCCTTGGTCGTCTTAGCCGCGGCGGTACCGGAGCCATCGTCATTGTCCAGACTGTCTTCCGAGCCGCTTGAGCTGGAGTCGCTATTGTCTCCATCGTCATTACTAGCATCCGAATCATCTCCAGGGTCAGAAGGTGGTGACCCCGGATCTTCTCTAGCCTTGCTGGTCGAAGGCTTCCTAGGTTCAGGCCGGTTGGGACTTTTCTTTCCCGATCCAGACTTCGTCGATCCAGAGTCTCCGGATTTGGGTTGTCTGAAACTAGATTCACCAACCTCCGAAACCGTCTGGGCCTTAGGAGCAGATGAAGCTCTTCGCCCAGCCTTAGTACGCTTCACTCTGAGTTCCTCCTTCACTTCTGGCAGTGTGGCTCGAAGTTGGGATAAAGCGACTTCGGTGAGTTTTTTTTACTAGGGTATAGACGGGACAGTACCTTGCGTCACCCTTGATTATAGAGGCCACACTTGATTTCTGAGTTGAAGAATCAGGGTCTCCTATAGCTTGTGACTTGGGATCAGTTGTCGCATCAGGGTGTAGTAGGGTCGCCACTGTTGCACGAAGATCCTGAAACTGCGGCTGGATGCGTTGAGCTTCAGACGCCTCCTGGCTTCTTCGGTGTTCTTCCGTGTTCTTCAGCTGCTGGAGGCTCGCCTGCTCTGCTGCGAGAGCTTCTTGCTGTGCGCCCAGGGCTCTCGTCGCCTCCTCTTTCCAACGCGCGCGGTCTTGCTCGACTTCCGCCATGTGCTGTCACCAGCGCTCCTCGTATTCGGCCTGGAAGCGCTTACGCTCCCGACGCGTGGCCTCCTCAGCATACTTCTGGACGCGAGATTGAGTCCGTCCGGTGTCCAGGCTTGCGGGCGGCTGGTCTTCGACCTTCACTTATTCCGCTATCACCGAGGGGGTCGTCTCCGAATGTTGTCGTCGACTCTCCATGTTCGCCAGGCGTCGCGCAAGGGCTTCTACCCCGCGGAGCGCGCTTTGGAGCTGGCAGTCGACAACAAGGCAGACATCGAGTTGGGCTTGGTGTTGTCTGACAAGGAAGGACTCTTGTCTTTCCTCCAAGGTCTCAAGCCTCCGGTCCTGTTCAATGCGCATCCGAGCAAGACGAGTCTGGTGTAGGACGTTCATGGCGACTTGAGCTGCCCCCGATCCAGACGACGAGGTTCTCGAACGTCGGGAGGAGGACGTGCGGCTTGACCCTATTGTCCCTATCGTTCTGGGACCGCTCGCTTAAGACCGCGTCAACATGTTGTCTCTGGAACTGGATGGTGCACGTCGACTGTCCCGACGTTTCAGAGTCATTCGGAGACTCGTCACGCCGGTGACGCCTGGATTCGCATCTCGTTCCAGACGCACGTTTTCTATTCGACCTAGTCCCTGACTCTGAGGTCGGGATGTCGTCTTCGTCCGCCATGTCGACATCGCCTTGATCCACTGCCTTTGAGAATTCAGGGATGACTACACGAGACAAATACATGCCCATGCTACCTTCCACATTCTGGAGGGGTCTTGCGTTCCAGACCTGGTCCCATGTGAGTAGTCCTCTGAGGATCCGGACGGACCCACCACACTTGCCACAGAGTCAGAGATCCCGCTCGAATCGGAGTCTTCGATCTTCAGACGCCCTACACCCGCATCCAAACCCGAATTCCGAGATAGTGGTGTCGGAAGGGTGAAGGTGCTCGATGACCGCATGGAGATACTGCACATTGGTGTCGACGGAGCGTTGTGAGGTCGCTTGACCTCAGGCTCGCCGTCTGATGATGACGCCACAAAACAACTCGCGGTCCGGACTCCAGTCAATCTGAAGCGCGACGAAAACTCTGCTCCTAGGAGGCTGGCTTCCGCATCCGTCATTGGCGAGTCTCCTAGGGCTTCCGATTTCATGGCTGAAGGTTACGGTCCTGGTGTCACCTCGCAGAACACACCCATCGTGAGTTTCTTCCACTTGATGAACTCCACAGCGAACAAGCACTGGATGCTCTACGTCACAAACGGATCTGGTCTAGACCGCACTGGATGCTCTACGTCACAAACGGATCTGGTCTAGACCGACATTCACAGCGTGGGTCCGGAACCATTCCGAGACATCATTATTGAACTGGAATCTTGCCTCGAAGAATAAAGTCTGAAGCACAGAGGCGCACTGGCGGGCTTCGAGCAGAGTGACCGGGACTTGGATTGCTGCCAGGTCTTGGACACGTCCGAAACCGCGGCGTTCAGGGCGCAACTCGGAAATACAGGCTTCGTCTCAGTTGTCCAGGCAGGTTTGCTGAAGTACGAAATCAGAAACTGCGTTGGCCGCCTCAAACCACAATGGGTAATTCCGACCACGCGTACACCACTTGGGGCGGAAAATCCTCGTCCAGAGGGGACTTGCTCCCAGGGTGCACTTGGTGTGCGACGTAGGCTTTCGCCAACGCGTCCACTTGGATGGCCTCTGGGGTAGCGGGTCCA